TAGTTTATATGTAAAATTCACTTTTTCACTTAACTTTCTAAAATATTAAATCAGAAACAATGATTTTTTTTAATAATAAGACAAAAGAATGAAACTTACCTTGAGAAAAATCTGGAACCCAACAATAATAAGCAACACGTGAATATTGTCAGCGAACACGTGGTGTGTGACAGAACTCGTCGCGGGCGACAATTCGCGAAATCTGTTTTAACACACTGGATTTGCTGTCAAGGCAAATAAAAGACAATCAACTCTGCTCGAACAGCTGTGCTTGACTGAAGAACAGCAAGTTTATTGTCACGAACAGGTCCGCGCGCGGCAATCAGTATCCCACGTAAATACCACCACAATAGGTGTATGTGTAATAGAAGTACGTGTAAAGAAAGGCGAGCCGTGCGCAAGAAACACGTCCACCTCACTTGAGCGATTGAAACAAACTGAAACTATAGGCTAGCGCGGTCCAAAGTTTATTCGTCTTGTGACGGGAACTTCTGAGAATATATACTACGCCGCGTACAGGGTGTTCGAAAAAGATGTACGCATCATACATATGCAAGTTAATGATGTTTTCGACTTGTGTGATTGCATTATTATAATTTACATTAGAGAGAGTCAACTTTTTTTTTAATATTGAACATATTGAACAATATTCTTAAAATGTATATAACAGTGGGATTGAGTAAATAATTTTTTTTCTAAATTTCTGATATTTTTGAATGATTTATAAAATGCACCGTAAATTTTCCAGTTTTCTTATTTCTTGCATCAGACAAATCTATTATAATTGTGTGTGTACAGTATTCACACATGATTATTCTTCAAAATTATACAAAACAGTATATATGTGTGCGTGCGAAAAGAGTCACATAGACAAAGTCGCGTCATTCACGTACGATGTGTCACTCTGTACATAATGCGTGAGTGGCGAAACCACGCGATGTGTTTTACTAGTCACAAGAAACTCGGCGATTGGTCGGCACGTCTCGGACCAGCAGTCGAGCCTCTTTTACCTCAATGTAGGAGAAGAAAGAAAGCAAACTGATCACGATCGTTGGCCTAGATCGACGACGTCGCGCGATCAGGCCACGTGGTGGCCAAAAATCACTTACGTGGATGACTGATCACGCTATTAATCAGTGATTAGTCTATAGATCGTTTATTACGTATCATCAATCTTGTTGTGTCATTAAGATGTTTTTTTTTTTTTCAATTTATGCACAATTATTTTGTCGCGCAAAGAAAAACGATATTGCGTTCAAAAAAAATAAAACAATATTTCTTAGAATTATCGTGCAATTATTAAATCTTTCTTTTGTATTTTGTTATCGTCGTATTGATGTATTTTATCTTTGTCGTTTTGATAGCTTTAACAGAAGATGTTTATATTATGATGTTTATTTAAAATATTTTTGTTATTTTATTCGAGAAACACGTGATAATATTACACGATTAACGTGTTTATGTGTGAAAAGACATATGAGATTTTCAAAACCTAATTTATTAACCCTTTCGGTACGGTGCTCGTCCGTCGCGTAACGTCACTTGACTAGCCGCGAGCCGCAAGCAAACGTATAAATTGAGAAATTGATAAACACAAGAGTTGATACAAAAACTACCTACAACAAAGTGTTCAGACTAAAGAACGTAAACAATCGAATGCTTTCGACAATTGTCGACTATAGTCGATGTTCGGCCGTACAAATACATTCGGCAGCCGTCGACTAAGGTCGACGCTCAGCCTCAGAAGGTTAAGAAAGACAACGCGCATATATTACATTAAAACTGTGTTAGCTTGTGAGTGTTTTTTTATTTTATTTTATACGCGTCATCGTGATAATTAATTAAAACAGTACATTGACATCGCTCTATTTCCTAGGGGTAGATATAAAATGTCAAAGGTCAATATTTATATCACGTAGTGCCGAACAAAGCAGTCTCTCTCATTATCTTCGATGTATAATTCTCGCAATCACAACATAAGTCATCACATCTGATGGGAAAAACACGTGTTGGTTGCTTATTTAGCGTTTATTTCCGATAATCAAATTTGCAGGAAATATATAACAACATGCTTTTTATATATTTTCGCGATAATGTTTTCGTAAGATATCGCAAACTAAAAAATATCACTACATAAGTGAAAATTCGCAATGTGTAAACGTTATCACGTAAAAGCAGATAAAAGTCGATGATAAATTTCTGAACAAAACACAGAGACAAAAAAACATAATTCGGATATTAACAATTTTGTCGACAGATAAGAAGAAGCGTTTGTGTATTTGAACAGTAATCACATGAAATATCAAATTGCTCATTCTCAAAGTTTCTGATCTTGATATGACGAAAATATCACTCGTATTTTATCATTTTATCGTATTATGTTGCTCTATATTTAGTTAAAAATGAAATCATCCAAAATCGTCACGTGTTAACTTCATTATTACTCATCAAAATTACATCATTATATTTTAATATATTATTACATCAAAATTCGATTTCTTCTTTTCATTTTCTTCAAATCTTAATGTCTATAATTGCGAAATGTCAACTATGGTTAAGTCTTTTAAAAAAACGCTTTTTCTTTTCGGAACGCTAAATGAATTTTACGTTTTGTCAGGTTTACTTCTGCAACAACAGTTTTATTCATATAACCCTTTCTCCCCAAGAGCGCAGCATCGAGACTTTCTCGAGATATTCCTTTAAGCTACAGCACAGATGGCTGCGTTACGTCACAAGACGAGAGATCGTTTGCGAGAGGTCGCCGACCTGGTCATCACGCGGGAGTGCGATATGCATGTATGTGTGTAATAGGCAACCATATATCCGTGGCTTTTATGTGCGAGAATGAAGGCGAAAATGGAGTAACAAAAGCTCGCGTTCGCGGTTTCCCTTCAACGACCGCGCTTGTTCAACCGCAGAAGGAGAAAGCAACGTGTATACCTCCCTGCCTTCTTCCTCGCGCGCGACCTCCTGCTCCACACAATGGGGCCTTGATTGTTCGCCGGCCACACGATTTCCTTTTCTTCGTGTTGTTTTAACATTTTCTTCTTCGAACTGGTTTTGTTTATCGTCGCTTAAAAAATTCTTTTTCTAAAGTAGCGTAAGCGAAATCCACGTTTGATTTTTTTAATCCGAAAACATTAATGTCGATTTTAATTCTGTGTGTGTATATGTATGTACACATACAAAAGCTTGTAACAATGTACCATAGCTCCGGCGTAAACACTAAATGCTGATTAGATGTTGTAACGCGATACACATCTACTGTACGTTATTGAAATGTTACGGTGGAGAACTTGAAGCAATGACATCCAATCGAAGTGTCACATTACCATAATATTCCGGTTGGTTGATTTCAAAACAGATTATATCTTCAAATGTGTGTGTATGTGTACAGTTATAGATTAAGTTCCAGTTACGTTAGCTTTTCGTATTTGCGCACGCTCATACGCATCAGATTTTGCAATTAAGACGTATAGTCAGACGTCATAGCGTACACCCACCGTTTCTCGGGCTGCGATTGGTCCGTACGTAACTAATTTTTCGAGGACGAATCTACTCCAGGGTCGACAAACAAGATTGTTTTTCACTCGTGACTATTTCCTTTAGTGCGTTGCGCGACGCTTGTGCCAGGTATTTAAAGAAGTAAAAAACTACGTATATGAATATGAAGAATGAACAGAACTGTTGTTAACTGATCTCGTGACATTTTGACGTAAACAACAATTGCGAAATTGTTATTGTATCATGGCACTCGTATTAGCACACGTAAAGCTAATGTAAGCAAGACAATAATAGTTAAGAGAGAGATAATTTGTTTCTTGGTATTATACGCGTTTTATTTTCTGATGTGCGCGCGTATCGCGTAATATACAGAATTTATCTTGAAGTTTCTTTTATGAACCTCTACTTGGATGTTTTGGAAAAAAATAAAATTTATAAGATAGCATTCTTTTGAAGTTCTAAAGGTTGAAAAAGTCATATGTCAAGTTGGCATTTCTATTTGCAAAGTTTTCTCAAATTTTGCCTAATTTGCAAAAGCTGACTTGGTAAAATCGATTGCAAAGAAGTTTTGAAATACATCGTTTCAAGACAATTTTACATTTATGTATACAATTGATAATGTAGATTTTATTATTCGATGTATTACATACATATATCGAGACTCGCAACACAGAGAGCGCCACGTAACGATGTGAGTTCTCAGTGTCGATAATGAACTTCTCTTCGACACAGAAATCGACTTTATCTCATTTTACGTACTAGTAATATATCAACACAATAATTACATATATAACGAATTATCTGACAAATAATATTTGATTTGGTGTTAAGGCCGGGCAAATAATATCTGACAAAAGATTAAGATAAAGATAGTAAAAAGTAACCAAATAAAAAAAAAACAGATACTGTGTGTGTGTGTGTGTGTGTGACATTTTTAATTCTTATGTATTTATAAAAATTATATATATTTTAACTACTTCTATTAAACTATTACTTATTAAGAACTCTAAAATGGATTTTTTTATACTAAACAAATGACACTATACTAAATAAATAGTTTAGATGACAAATAATATTAACTCTCAATCCCCGATGTTCTTTTTGACACCTTAATTTTCCGATCATGGGTCGTTTTCATCTTGGGCCTTTGAAAAATATTAAATATGTGTAAAAAAAATCTGAAAAAATTCGTGTATATACTTGAAACAATCTATTTTAAGAAACCATTGTTAAATTTAGTGAAACATAAAGTTGTAATTCATATTTTTTAAGAAAAATGCGTTTTGTGACGAAAAGTCATTTTTATTTATATCATGGGTCAAAAACGTCTGCAGCAGATTTTGATGGCATTCAGAACAGAACTGACGTAGCACGTTGTTCTGTTCTGCGCATACAGGTTAGCCCTACCATAAACTTTTTTTACATACCTAATAGATATTGCTACCTGCTCAAGTCTTCTAGAAATTCCAGAAAGTAGTTTTGATCCGGACGAAAACGATCTATGATCGGAGATTGAGAGTTAACTCTATACACATATTTAGATGTGTTTGATAATGTCATTTATCTTTCTTTGTTTGATTTTCTACTTTGAAGCAATTTAATGATAAAATAAGATTAAAAATTTTTTTGTGATTGATAACAAGATTAACAATGTACAAACTGGGTTGATAAATCTGAAATCTCAAATTCCGTTCAATTTTATAAAAGGGACATGATCATAGTGTATAAACGTAGTCGTGTAATAAACGCCATGAAATTAATTTATATTGGATTAACGTTCCTTGCTCTGGCTTCAGCCGAGCTAAAACTTCTGTAAGTATTAGTAATCGTATTGTATATGTAATATCGTTCATATAATCTGTTTTACATTATCTTATTATTATAAACAGTACTATTTCTAGACAGAAATAACATCATTTCTACCGCTAATCTTTATACTATCATATTATTTTATTATTTTGTTTGAAGAATTATTATGATTAATATTTTAGTTTAATATTACTGTACTTTGCGTATAAAAAAATATAACATGCAAATAACGTAATCGTTGCAGTGATGATATCGAACCTCAATATCTGAATGTCAACATAAATGATCTCGTGGATCGTTTTAATCCTGAAATTTCACAATTGATTATCGATCATGGATTAGATCCGCTCATTCTTCCACGCGTTGAAACAAAATTGTGGAAGGTACGTGATGTTTTTTAAACGTTGTTCGTGTTAATTATTTTTTGTCTCTTGAAAAAAGAACATTTTTAAATTAATTATAATTAATATTATATTAAATTTCTTTATTCTCTAGTAAACAGTGATTGAATCACGCGCATATCTCGTAAAAAAATTTAGTATTAAGTTAATAAATGTCAAGAAAAAATCGGTTGTTCACGTAACAAAGTCGTTATTACGATAAACGTTTGTGTTTTCTTTAAAATCACGAGTGAGATCATTTCGAAAATTAGGAGAAAGCTAGATTTCAGGGTCAATCCACGAGATATGAGGTCAGCGAGACACAAAAGTGTACGCACGTACAACTTCTCGGGGCCGTAGAAAGCGAGACCGAAGAATTGGGCCTTGAACGAGAGCGAGAGTGAATCCCTGGGATGACACTCGCTCGCGAACCTTGAGTTGACGTGGATTACGGTCAAACGCCGAGGTCATTCTTTGCGCAGTGTTTTCACTGATTTCATTTTTGACGCTTCGAAGGCTATCACACGCAGCTTTGAACTTGAACGAGAGTGAAACCAAGGCTTCACTCGGTAGAAGCGCGTTTCAGCACAAGTTCAATGTCACGTCCAACACAATTTTTACCGCGGATATTTCGCGTTCTGAGACTATTATTTATGTCTCTATAAAGTTCCTCAATTTTTCGTTCAACAAAACAAGTTTATGTTCCGTACCAGCAATATCGTATCCGTCAGAAGATCTCGTGTCAAAGTTTACGCGCCCGCGTAATAAAGTTTTCGTAACTTCATTACAGTACAGTAAATTTAAAAAAGAGTTTGTTTATAAAACAGCGCTGATAAAAAAAAAATGCGTTGAAATACGTCTCGTGTTTGTCTCAGATAACATAATCGCGGCAACAACTAGCGATGAACTACTGTGATAAAATGTACTGATATATAATGTATACTTCTGAGAAATTACTTGGTTTAATTGCGATTCCCATATTACACATATATTGTTTACCGTATTGTTTACCGAGAGTTATCATTAATCTAGTCAATTTATTTTTAGTTAAACTTGTTGCAAACTTCAAAAATTACTCAAATGTTTTAGAAAGCCGATCTCGTTTTATATTCGGGAATATTGAACCATTTATCTGCTATAAAGCGTTGTGGCAATGTTATTTTAAATTACGAAGACCAAATAGCGATGAATGCTAGTTTTAAATTCAATGATTTGGAGGTAATTTGATCAAGTTTTTTGACTACTTATTATAATTTTGCCAAAAAATCAGAAAAGTACGAATAAAAATTTATTGTGAAAACAACATTTTTTTTTATATTTAGGGACAGTATAAGTACACCCTTGATGTGGGCATTTTCGATTTCCTGGGCGGTATTGTAATCACGGTGGCAGACGTGCACGCTAAAATTAGCGTTACATACCATACGACTAACTATACTCTAGTTCTTGACAAACTAAAGTTAGAAACTGTCGGGTAATAGTTTTTATTAATATAGCAAATATTATAAACACAATCTTTATATAGCTGTTTTTACCGCATATTCTCTTTTCAATTATTTAATTTGATCGTAGTTCCATTAAGGTGAAAGTTCAAGATGAAAACGGAGCAGTGAGTTGGATCAAGACAGCTATTGTCAATTTTATAATTCCATACTTCAAGAACACGATCATGAACAGCGTTGAACAAGAAGCTAGAAGTGAAATCCAAAAATATTTTGATGGAATAAATTCTAAAACTGCTCCGAAAGTATCACCATCTCTAATAATTAGTACTTTGAATATGTGGAAAATGTTGAAAAAGTTTTAAATTGCTCTGCAAAACCGTCAAAAATCAAATTAGGAAATCATGAATTAGAATTAAATAAACATTAAGTTAGAATTAAATAAACATTAATAGGAAACAGACAATAGAAACAATATAGATCACCGGGGTGTATCTTGCTTCTATTTATCTGTTTTTTAATAATTGGATTTCAACCTCAAAAAGCATCACAGTTTTATTATTAAACGAAATAATGGTTTTTTGTGCGTGTATGTACGATGTATGTGTGATGTTTTTTAGACCTGAGTGATATATAATTTGTACTATGTTATTGATAAATACAGATATATATATAACTAAAGAACTTGATAAAATTGTGTGTTTGTGTATATTTATTTGGAAATTTAATTTTATATTTATTTATATTTATATTCAATTTATTTATATTCCATTTTTTAATACTGTGAATTTATTCTATCATCAAAAACTTGTTTTTATTAAATTTTACGTAATCTAAATAGAGCACAGTCTAATGCAGCTATCTGCTACCGCGTTATTAATCAAAATACATAATTATTATTAATTGCATAATTACTAATGTTAAAGTGCAAAATTACTACTTGTTTTTAAATCATACTAGCACAACACAAGCGCGCGCTACGCGCATGCTATTGTTATTTTTGTTTAACGTGTTGTCAGTGAACACAACCTGTCACTGCGATGACAGATAGTATATACGTCTTATAAACCATATAATACAAATATGAGAAATTTCAGAAATAACGCATGAAAATCAAACTCAAAAAATAGTGAGAGAGAGAAGTGGAAAAACAACACGTGACTAAAGTCAGTAACACCGCCGCGGTCGCGCGGCCGAGGTCAGTGACTCCACCGCAGTCGCGCGATCGAGGTCATTGACCCCGCCGCGGTCGCGTGACCGGGGTCAGTGACCCTCCCCCCACCAAGGCCGCGCGGCCGAGGTCAGTGCCCCGCCAAGGCCGCGCGGCCGAGGTCAATGACCCCGTCAAGGCCGCGCAGCCGAGGTCAGTGACCCCGCCAAAGTCGCACGGCGGAAGTCAGTGACATTACTGTAGTATGTATATAATACATATAATACACTATAAAGTATAATATTATATATATATAATAAATTATATGTATATATATATATATATAATATGTATTATTTAATGTTATATATAATATAAATTACAGTCACGTTATTTTCACGTGTTGTTTTTCTACTCTTTCATGTCATGTGACTTTAGTTACGTTTTTAATTTTCTCTACATATACGACGACCTGTCTCAAAATCGCTTTTCATTTTTTACTCTCTTGATCTTACCGATTCGATTCGACTCGATCAACCAACCAATCAATTGGCAACGCAGAAAAGAGGCAACGATAGATGCGATACATTCGGCTCCAAAACGCGCACTTCGCGAAACATGGATTTTTGTATATAAATTACGATATCACTAAAGTTCTTATTCTTCTATCGTTTAAATAATTAATTGATAAGACGCATAATTCAAGTAGTATAGAGAGAATAAGAATAAGCATATAACATCGATATTATTCTACAATATCGATATTATTCTTTCGATATTTGATAATGTAGTATTTTTAACTAAATTATATGCAAACAAATTAAAGTACATTATATATATTAAATTATGTACAATTTACGTATTTATGCTCTAACAATATTTTCGTTCTAATATTATACAATACCGAAATCTTCGATTTGATGTATATTGATTATTGATATTTGCTTTTAATATATCACATGATACAAATATCGATATTTTTCTGTCGATGTTTATTCTTAATCGATATTACATTATCAAGTATCGAAAGAATAATATTGATATTGTAGATATATCGATATTATATGCTCATTCCTGTAGTAGAAGAATGCTAATATAGTACAACCTCCCACAAAACGTATACTTCCCCTTTTCCTTCACTCTTTAACTCACGCATGTGCAAAGACTTATTGCATAAGCGCTAGAACGGTTTCGGTTGTAACTTAGTGGTGGGAAAAACGATGAAGGAAAAAATACATTTTGGGGAGTTCTACTGTAATGAGATCATTATAGAAGTTAGCTTTGTATCGTAATAATGGCTGGTCAAATTCAAATTGCTTTTCTTCTCGCGGTGATAGCCGTGACGTACGCTGATATACCTTCGTAAGTTTAAAAATATTCCACAATTTCTCATAATTTTATACAATTTTGTCAGTTTATTATTGTTATTTTATTTTTGTAACTATATCTTACTTTATGCAAACTTGATATCTTCATATCTTTATAACGCAAAACTTGATCTTAACTTACAATAACAGGGTAAAATAATATTTTCTAGAATTCTTGTTTCTTAAAATAGAAAAACTCTCTCTTAATGTTTAAATTCTTGATATTAAAATTAAAAATACATACACACTATGAGTTAATTTTGTTTAAATAAGCTGTGACCGTAGAACAGTCTAAGAAATGCAAAATCATTTTATTGCGTAGGTTTTCTTCAGTCGAAGGAAAATGGGTAAATATTGATAAAGCAGTTGATGAATTATTACCGTTCATTCGTAAATTTATTTTGAACAATGGATTGGATCCTACACCACTCGTCGACTTTTCCGAATATATTTTTCCAAAATTGGTACGATTTCTCGATCAATGTGTTTTTATTTTCATAAATTATTTACCAGCTTTAATAATATATATATACACGTAACATTTCTTGAAGTCCTAATACGTTTTATTTTTTAATAACTCTTTTAGCCTGGAAAAAGTAAAGGGAACATTGATTTCAAGAACGGATGGTTGCAAAACTTATCAAGATTAAAACGAAGCAACAATGTTCATGCAATTTACAAAAATAAACGTTTGACCTTAGATATGAATGTAGGATTTGACGTTTTAGACGTAAGCTAATCAAAACAAGTGTTAATTGATTAAAATTAATGAATTGGAATTATATGAAACGAATGTTCCGCGCACGTATTATCTCATTCTTATAATTCTAGTTTAATTATGAATATTCTCTGCAACACTTGTTATATAAGAGGCAAGGTGACGTGTACGGTCGTTTTTACGACCTTGACGTTAACGTCAACATCGAACTTGACTTAGAGAATTACTATATAAATCTCAATTCTCTCAATTTTTCAGCGATCAGGTAAGAAAATATTATCTCTTATTTTTCTCGTTTACGTTTTACGCATGTCTGAATATACTGAAAAATGACACATGAAATCGAAAGAATCAACACGATCACGTAATATTGAAAGCTGTGATTTATCAGTTGTCATGCATCATTTCTGTCGATTGGTGATGATAGCGCCGCAATGAATTGTTTTGCCTGCGGTGATAAATTCATGCGATAAACAGATGTACAATAGGGAAACAAAAGAAGAATTATCAGAGTTTCACATCTAGAAGTATAAGTATTGATAACGATAGATTATTCGCAAACCAACAGAAATTATTCGTGTAAACATAATTTGTTAATTCTTATCGGCTGATTTCATACTCTTACTTTTAATATATTTCTCGTCTCACATTTAAATTAAAAAATTTTTATTACGTATATATTACATATATTCTTGCGTGTATATAATTTGCAAATGTGTTTTAATTTACAATTTGCACAGGAGTACTAAAAACTTACTTACGTAAAAATGTGACAATTTTTTTATTAATTTTTGCCTTTCGCAGGAAATTTGACATTAAATTTGAGGGAAATCTTTTGGATCGCATTGTAAATGCTCTGACTAAAATGGTCACAAAGGTTTTCCGAAAATGTGTATTGGTTGGCATTGAAGATCGCGCTATGCTTATTCTCGGTGTTAAAATAGCCGAATGGAACGAACAGTTACCGCGACCAGATCGCATAAAGCTCATAGAAGAGTGGCTCAAAAGTGCCGAATAACAATCCCGTCAATCTTTGTGGCTTTATTGAATATTTACTCGTTTCTCTAAAATGAAAAAATGACAACGAGTAAGTTTTTAAGCCTATGAGCCTGTTTTGACATATTTATCTTATCTTTACTAATATCGATTTATGCAAATATTTTATTAAAATATAATTTACTTTTTGTTTCAGATTAAACTCGAATAAGTTTTATTTGTTGTTATTTACTTACACTTAATAAATATACGCATATAAAATATTTTTGCGTGAATTATTTTTATTTTACAGAACATGCGAACTCCTTAATCGTTATCTTGAATATTCGACAATATGACTGTTGAACAATCAATTTGATTTTCCTCTCGATAATCTGATCTCTCGCAAAACAATATTTTTTGAATATAGATATACTTATCAAGATAAATAAAAAGTAACTGAAAACTCTTCAAAAAAACATGTAAAAAAAGATACAGCACGAAATTTGCACATAATGCTGAAACAGAATATTTTGTGACATATTTCGCATATTCACAAACGATAGTGAGCTGTACGACGATAAGGCAGGCGGTAAATAGGCAAGAGACCCACCTAAAGTGACGATCAATATGCATTACTTACAACATTGTTAAGCCACAACTTGGCGCGCGCTAGTGCCACTTAATCTTATTAAACTTGCCCGGGTTTCCCTGACACGTGCGTCTTAGAGGCGTCGATATCAGACGCGAGGAGCGATAGTGCAATCTGCATAGAGATAGCTACATGAAAATCTACGGGATGGTCTCTGGGGATATCGTGAGAGAAGCGCACGGTAAACTTGTTTATACACACAACACGACATTGCGGATATCGTGAACATGACCGGGCGATCGATAGCCTTGCCTCCCGATATGCCAGGTAGTATCTGGTGTATATAGTACTGGCGCACTAATATCCTGTGTGTATTCCATTTTGTCTTGTTGTGTCTATATAGTTGTCAATTGATGCTCTCTGATTTCTAATTACTAACTCAAACTTTTAATGGAAGTTAATGTCTTATATCCCAAGCGCAACGAATAGTTTGTGAATACATGAATTAATTTAATTAATATGTTAATTTTAACGTATTAAGTTTAGCTTCTGATTATATTTAAATACTCACTGCTGGTGGCGGGAATTAATTTAATACTGAAAGATAATGTCATGTGATTTCTCTCTCTCTCTCTTCTCTCTTTATCTCTCTTTCTGACACCTACTGCGTGATTACACGTTAACACGCTCATGCGACGATGGTTGCCTTTTCCCAGGTGCCTGATATCAGATGCACTAGTTCTTCGTATATATCAATGCGTAAATTTTATTAATATTTAATTAACGTATATATAATAATCAAAGTGCTTGGAGCAAAGCACTTTGATTATTATATAATCTCTCTATTTCATTAAGAAATTGATTTAAAAATTTTCCAGATAACACAATATTTTTATATAAAAATTTTATGCAAAATTATATCTGAAAATTTTATTATATTTTGAATCTGATTTATTACTTAAATTGTAAATAATATGATGTAGATGTATCAAGATATTACTGCCGCTTTTCTGCGTTCTATCTAAACTCAAGACGGTTCGATACTTCGTGAAGGATAAGCCGCGTGGCACAACCAGTCTCGTACTTGCATTATGTCAATGATTCCAAGGCATATCGGGTTTATATCGTATCGCAGATGCTCAATACACAGTGCGCCGAGAGCAACCTATTATTGTTCGTCTTTGCGTACCTTGTATCGAACGTCGCTGTCTATTGATCGTGATACCTGCGTGCCGAAGGATTATTAACTGTATTGCCAGCTCTCTTCTCTATCGCAAATATCGCTGATACATATATCTCGGCACAACTGAATGCATATGGTCACGGATTTATCGAAAACTTGTCAGAACGAGTTCGTTTTACGATGAGTTTTGGTATATATTAATATATTACATATATTACGAGATTTTATTAAATTCTCGATTAAACAATTTGAGAATCATTAATTATTATTTTTATTAAAAAGCGTCTTGAACGTTGTAGGCTTTAAAAGACAATGATACTTTTTTTTTTTTTGTAATAATAAATTGCGCAGTTGGTGAGTTTGAATTTTCTCATAGCGATGAGTTAACTTTATCCTAAACTCATGCTGTGTGGTACACATACAGTATGTTTACATGACACAATATGGATTTTGAACTTGCTTAACGTCCGGACTACGTACACAATTATTATATTATAAACTTTTCGCAGAGACAAGGGCGGATATAACTGGCAAAAATGTTCTCCCTTCGTTCAGTTTCTCTCTTTGTGTTTGCCGACTAGGCAGAAACCGATATGACACACGTCGACAGATTACTTCAAGTTGGACGCTGATTAGGTCGTGGCGCGTCGAATGCGCATATGAAGAGACACGGGAAATGCGACGAAACGCGGAGATAAAGCTTTAGACTGTAGAATTGCACACGAGAACATAAACTCACACGATCAAATTACACGCGATGAACTTTCTATGAAACTGCTGATACCGCGTAGAGTAGAAGAGAGTCGAGTTCGAAGAGAAAATTAATTTTTCCTTTGCGCGAGTCGCAATTCCACAATATGCTAGGTAGCAAATCTCAGTAAATTTCATATTGTCAAGATGTAAAAATGCACAGAAATCTCCTTTTGTGTGTGTGTGTGTGTGTGTGCGGCATTTAAAAAATAGAAAACAATTTCGTGTATTTCTCTCTGTAGATAAACATATTACAAATATTTTTTTTTTTTTTCAGACACAATTCGACGAATCCTTCGCTTCAGTGATCCTTGGATACCTCGCGATTGTGTGAGACGTGACTATTAATAGAAATGAGAATCATGAGGCGAGAGCGTATGGAGCAAGGTTGGTGAGAAACGCTTCAACTTCGTAAGTCAACCGCGCGCGCGAAAGCGCCTATTAATAAACAAAATTAATCGTATTTGAACAGATGCTACATCGCAAGTTGTGCGCGTAGTTGTGGGACGTGCTGAAGTTGGTCCATAATAATTCAATAGCAGTATTCAAACTTAAGATACTATTAAGCTTATCTTGTAACAACGTGCGCTTCAGCTGTAATTCTAACAAGAAACTACATCAACGCACGCAACTTGAAAATAATATGTTTTTCTTTCTAAAAGAAGTTTGACTTATATATTTATGTCAGTTTTTTTTTATGCCAAAGATAAAATCGCGGCTAAGAGAGATTCCAGAGCCAAATTGCAAGCTTGATGCTGGACATGTCGAGGCCGAGGCCAACCGAGTGGAGCCGAGCCAGATCGAGCAGAGCCGAGCGGAGTCACGCTAACGAGCAGACGACGAGCGTGTTCGTTTCGTTTCAGCGCAGCGCAACGCGGCGCGGTACGACGCGGATTCGCGATAAAGCCGAGCAAAGCGGATACGCCGCGTTCGCAGCGGATGACGCGACTGCAGCTGCCCATTCAGTAACGGACGCGCATCAAGGTGCATTCATTTTCGACACAATGACAAACGTGTCTTACTCTTGCGTGTCCGCGAGCGGAAATTTTCTTGGACAAAGAAAAACCTAGAATGAAAATGATCAAAGTAACTTGATAATATAACAAACGATAAAACAGTATTTAAATCCGTAACAAATATTCCCGTGTAAGAAAGTTGCGAAGTCACTAATCAAATTGTTGCCTAATTAGTTTTAGAAACAGAGAAAATGTTGAGAGCCTCTAGGCGATGCTCCGAATAAAAGAGTAAAGAGCGAAAAGTCTGTCAATAACAGAGATATAAAGTTAAGACATTTTACTTCTCTCGAGAGAAGCAAAGAAGCTTCTTCTCTCTTTCCGTTATTGCGTACCTATATATAATATAATAATAGTTCTTCACGGAGTAAGTAACACCCCTTTTAATAAAGTTCCGCGCGGTAGTGTGTATAGAACAACAGAGAGAGAATAACATCGCAATTACGAGTTGATGAATTTATGTCAAGTGGCAATTCCTTCAGACGGTATTGCTATTGCTATACAATTAATGAAAATAGTTTCCACCACTTTCGCTAAGCAATGTGTTCGCAACCTCGTCAGATAGTAGCACTTGAATTAATACTCCGACATTGCAAGCTGGTAAAACCGTCTGTTACCCGCTCCGGGACAACTCGCGCGTATCTCCGCCCCTGCGCGCGATGCGCTTACCGAGCCGGTGGTGGTTTACTCGCTCGGCGTCAATCCGCGCTCCTTTCCACCTGCCCCTTCCTACGTGCGCTCTCACTCTCTCTCTCTCTCGCGCGCGTTGCCCGAGCGTGTTGGCCGAGCGAGTTGTCGCGGAGCCGAGCGGAGACGCGCTAAGTCGAATCGTATTGAGTCGAGCCGCGCCGAGCGGAACCGAGCGGTGCCGAGAGCCGAGGTCGAGCGGAGCCGAAGACTCGCGACGCGCGCGAGTACAGCGTAGAGCGAGTAGCAGCACACCGCTGGAGCGTGTGTGTGCGTGCGTGCGTGCGCGTTGTGTCCGCTTGTACTCGCTTCGCTCATCTTCTCGTGCTCTCTTCTTGAACGGCTCGGCGTTTGCGAGAACAAGAGTCGTTGCTGTAACGTTCGTCGTGAAACCTCGTCTCGTAAGCTTTTTCAACAAAACCGTCGGTTTTGCTTCCTCGCGCGTGTGTGCTCCGTATCGTTTCTGCTGGCCCCGCGCGCGTGCATGGACTATACGCGCGCAAGATTCGACGAGGATATAGCCCTGGATTCGTCTCGCTTGCGCTCGTCCGCTCGGCTCGGCTTCGCCGCGAGCAACGCTGCCACCGCTGCCACTGCTGTTGTCACAAGTTGTACCACTACTTCCACCACTTCGTCGACCGCCGCCACCACCTGCCGCGTCGTCAGACGCAAGAGGAAGAAGAGGAGACTACAGCGGTCAGCTACGACCAACGACGACGCGCCCGGCGTCGCCGTCGCTACCACGCCGAGCGGTGACACCGCCGTAACCGAGGACACAGCTGCCGAAGGAACAGCCGCCGGCGACGTCGTCGTCCTCGAGCCCGACGCTGACGCCGCCGCCGCCACCGCCGCCTCCACCACCGCGAGCGCAACCACCGCGGGGACAGACTCGGCGGCGGCGCAGGTCGATAAACCGAGGAGCCGCCTCCTCGCCGAGCAGCACACCACCGGCAGCGGAAAAGCCCAGCTACGCGTCGGAGGAAGCGGCGCGCGTGCGGCCGCCTCCTCCGTCGGCACAGCCGGCGTCACGCTTCTCAATCGACGCGCCGGCAAACGCTCGCCTCGGCGATGCAACGCTGCCGGCGGACGTAGGAGCGCGATGACGATGGACCTCCAGCGGCTGATAAACGAGGTGCGCGCGAGGCCCGCGATCTGGGACCAGAAGAATGTCAACTATCACAATCGCGACGTCATACTGAAGATGTGGCGGGAGATTGCGCGGTCTTGCGAGGTGTCGAGTGAGTACGATGCTCTCCTACCCGCGTGTTTCTCGTCCTTGCCACACGTTCATACTCATAACGTGTATTTGTATGCGCGCACGTGCGCGTGTGGATGGCCAGATCGCTAGCTCGATTGGTTGGTCACCCGGTGGGTGGGTGGGGTGCGCTGGATACGAGTCGATTGGTCGTTACATTGTATTCGCAGGTTTTGCGACCCCGCGAGGTCGCTCGAGATATAAGCTCGAGTTATGCGGTATGCGCGCAGCTCAAATCTCGGAGGAAGGTCGTCGAAATCGAAAGAAAGAGACGCGTCGGTAAAGACGATGAGAAATCGAATGGGCCTGACAACTCACCAACCGGCCGATTAGACGTGAACACGGGCCGCTCGCTGGAAGGTCGATAGCTCTGCGCTTCGTAAGACGAAACGCCGACCGGAAAGATAGGCTCCTAGTTCGAGCAAATCGCCGCCAGGTCGCACCGTATATACTTACGCGACAAGCTGATGAAGTTTTTTCAAACGCGATTTTATCTCGCATATGTTAAATACGCTAATATATTTATCGATATATTTGTTTTAGTTTATATTGAAAAATCTCCCATAAAAGTTTTCAAGAGATTTTACTTGATTTATATTTTCTGTTTTTATATATATCTTTCTTCTGTATTCAATAATTATAAACTCACATTACATTTCTTATATTATAATTGTTTTATATTCTGTAAATTTCGAGAAAAAATGAATCACTTTGATCGAGAAAGGGTTCAACTATAAATTGTTTCTTTTCGGGAGAAAAACTGTCCCCGTCAACAACCGCTGTAAAACCACGCGGTCGCCACTTTGTATGTTGCAGCGGACGTCGCCAAGTCCAAGTGGAAACACCTGCGCGACAACTTCCGGAACGAGCTGAAGAAAACCTACCGGGGTAAGTGCGACGGCATCGGCGGCACCGAACACGACTCCAAATGGGTCTGGTTTAAGAGTCTGTTCTTCCTGCGGGACCAAATGAACTCCAGAGTGATCGGTTGCGCCTTGTCGCAAAATTGCGTAGGCGCAACAATCGGGATGCGTTCGTCACCGGATGGCACGCAGATCGAACCGCAGATCGATATCCTCGAGGGTCACGAGGAGACGCAGTTCGACGACCTGGACGGCGACTCCTGCCAGTCGTTACTGTCCAACAACGACGGTCTGCATCAATTGATACCACCGCCGAAACTGGACCAAGTACTAGGCCGGAAACGGATGTTGATGGAGACAATCGACAACGATTACTGCGCAGAAGTAGACGGTCGGAAGCGATATGAGCTACAGAAAAGGCTGGCGATAGGTCCCGAGGACGAGGACGATACCTATCATTTCCTTATGAGTGTTCGAAATCCTCTGAGAAGCTTGCCGCTCGACCGTCAGATGTTCGTTCGACTTAAGATCCAAGAGCTTGTCTACAACGAGATCAACTCGCAGAATCAACATCAGCCGCATACAAATCGCGGTGTTTATGACGCATCTTCACAGGGACAAGACGTGAAGCCTCCGCGGTCTGGTAATGGCGGCAACGGTGTCGTTGGCGGAGATGTCAGCGAAATGTCGAATCCAGCGTCGCTGCTGCAGAATTGCACACCTGAAGGCACCAGCGACAACGCCTATAACTTCGGCTGACGACGGTTCGTCGTGGTTTAAAATTCATTTTTAATAGGCGTAAGGATAATTATAATTTTACTAGAAAATAAAAATAAGATCGTATTTTTTCAATAACACGTTGCCGTGCCACATTTTTGTAGTATTTGCGCGCGTTCTTCCTACCCGAATCCGTGTTGTGAAATGATACATCATTTCCATCCCATTCATCAACATCCTGTAGATTCTACCTATCCACAACTGTAATTCTAGCTTAAAAGTTATCGAAACTACCAACTACCGCGTGCGATAAATGATCTTTGTCGAGGAATTCATTCGGGGAACGAGAAAAGAGAGGTAAAATTTTAAAGATAATAATCATATTAATGTGTAAACACACGAAACAAATGTAATATTATTTCCCACAATACTCTGTCGCGTTCTTGAAATAACTAAAAGAAAATTCTCGCATACGTCATCTCTGCCGTGAAATTTAAATGTCTTTCTCGCAACGAAGTTGTAACACAGTATTCATAACATTCATAACAGGTAAACGTGTTGCCAAACATGTTTTCGCGCGATACTCAATATATCCGCACGTTTGATAACAAAAGTTTTTCAATTAAGATAGAACGGTTTGTCAATACAAATTAGTTTTATTAACACGCGCCTCACACCTATCTCCGTTATATTGCGACGGAAATGTAATTACATTCCGCCGCTGTGTGTATACTCGATTTCTTCCTGGTTCACGTTATCGTTCGTGTTTTCCACTCTTCATGATTAAAAAGCACGGACTGGCAGTAAAGCGCCGCGGGCGCATGCGTTACACACAGAAGCTGACTCGGTGCACGCGGTTGATCAACCGGAGACGGTGCAATGTGAGAGGGTGCGTTGCCCTAACCGCGGGAGGGATCTGGGAGGGTGCGGAGTCGACCAAATTTACCAATGTCAGTGTGTGTATCACGTTCATTAACCCTTCGCTACAGAACGCCAAGTGGTCGCAACCGGCTAATCCACTGGTATAACGACGGATTCAAACTCGCTGAGAGATTTAAAACGCTATTCACTTCTTCGATAATTTATAGGACTAAAATAAACTTAAATAATTTTAATCGCAAGTAAATTAATCTTATAAAATATTTTTAAATTACAGAATTTAAAAAAATAATACAAAGAGAAATAATTTTAATTTTATTTGTAATAATTTAAAAAATGTACAATTTTAGTTTTTTTGCACAGTCACTTATGTATATAACAACTGAAATTTGACAAATGCTATTTTTGCATTGGAATATACAATGCGGTATTCTACGAGAGAATATAAAAAATGACATCTACGTAGATGGTACGTAGATAGCACGTATGTAAGAGTACTGAATATCTTTTCAGAACACACTGACCTATTTACGACACTGATGGATCAACCGTTGCACACGTTGTGCTGTGTGAAAATTATTCCCCCTCCCCTTTTTCACGATGAATTCTAGCTGTTTCGACGAGTTTTCTGAAACGGACTAATGAGGTGCGGACTGCAAAGCGTAAATAAGGGTACCGCACCTGCATCGTAACGGCATTTTGTTGAGGGTCGTAAAAACCCGCAAATAGCAATGAATAGACCCTGTCTTTTGTGCAAATCTGAACTTGTTAACACGTTTCCTGCAGTGCTTTTATTTTTGGTGAACTTTTTTTGTTCTCGCTGCGAGGATTGTAGTTGTGAAATATTCTATGACAATGCAAGCAAGAGTAAACCAAAAACAAATAATAATAATAACTTTCAAACACTCTTTCACGTGACATATATTTCCTGTGCAAGCTATTACTTAGCCAACATCAAAACAAAGAAGATTTTTTAATATAAAATCTGTTTTCCTTATTAATTTCTAGGCAAATTATATTCTGACAACGGCGCGCTATTCATACTACAACATATTGTTTTGACATACTCGGAATATCACATTGAATAAAAAATACGAAGGCGTTTCGTCACGCAACAATATTATCCCACCCTGCACGTTAGGAGTGAAATAGAAAAACGAACTCGCTGTACCCTCTAATCGTATGATGGATGGACATCGATCATTTACTCGCGCGCATATCGATCACGTTTGTTCGCAGAAAATTTACCTCAACTTGACGCAAGATATTTGATTAAATATCGATACGTAATTATCTGAATGTATCTATTCGTTGGGTGTAAAAATATATTAAATTTTACGTTCATTACGTATACATTAAGCTTAAAAGAATCCGTGTGACAAACAAAAAGCTTCCGGTGACAGATAACAAAAGTATAACTCTGTTTAGTGATTAATGATTTATTTAGATGTTTCTACCAAAAAATAGATATATTTTTAATTCTGCTTTCGACACTTCACTCGTCGAAAGTTGATATAAAAATCTTTCTGACAGATGATTCATTATTTAAGCTTTGTTAAGGACGAACCTTTCTTCGAAGAATCTATTTTTTTTGGAAAAGATTTTTGCAACAAGCCAATTCGCGGCGCATCGATTCGATTAAACACAAATTTCACAACTCGATTAAGGGCGATAGCTCGTGCAATTGCGTTACGTAGTCCGGCTAATGGACAGTCATTATCATCCGACCGGCGAATAATGGACACAATGGATATTGCCGAGGATGGGTGATATTGGCGCTAATTTTATTGTCACACCGAGTATGTAACGTTGAAACGTAATCAAGATGTATATATATGCGCTCCTTGATGCTAGACTGCGTGTACGCACGCGTGCATGCATTGTCTGCGTGTACCGCGGCGTTTGCGTCGGTACAGCCTTTTATGAGGCTATCGTGTGTATTCCGGCACGACATTCGCCAGTCTCCCCTATCCCTATCGAGTATACCGAGTGACTGATCAATTGTTGACCCTCGACAAAAACACGCGCGACACACGGTGCACACGTTATTCGTCGCGCGAAATGTTTTGTGAGAATACTCGCGTTTTTTTTTTTTTTTTAGTTTTTATTTTCACGAGAACACTCGAAAATCGACCATTTCGAACGTTTTTTTTTTATTACGAGAATCTGAATTGAATCAGAGAGAGAATCGTTGGTGGCGATTGATTTATTAATATGTGACTTAAAGCAAACTGGCGGATTTTCGCCACGCGAGAGAGATTGAGACAACTTTAATTTTTTACAACTTTAATTTTTTATACATCACACAGTTGCAAATTGCGCCTTATATATTTTATATGAGACAATGTTTAGAAGTTGTAAATAATTACGTGAGCTGTGAGAGACAAACGCGGTCATTGTCAGAATCATAAACAATTCGACAAACATTCGGAAAACAAAAAACATTAATTTTTTTTTCAAACTTTTTTCCCCTTTTTCCCGAGTTTCTCGAGAGAAATAAAATTTACCGTCGGTGCGCGTCGAATCCTTCTTCGCCGCAAAGTAGTTTTACTGTAGTACAGTATATATATACGCGAGCGTATATATCGCGATACGGTACTTCGGGATACGAACCTTCCAACTTGTCGTGAGAGGGAAGATGCGCATTTGAACGCAACAACGCGAGCGAAACGCGACGCGGCATCATCATCACGGAATTCTTGTCTCTGTTACGGCGCACATCTCATATTGACTAGAATCGTGCGATATATACCTCGATGCACCGTGACAGCGTTACACATTATTATATCGACCACTGGTGCCACTGACACCGCGCTGCGGTTCGCTGAATGCAACGCATTGTCCTGTTCGCGCGCGCGAGCCGTTTCTGATAACGTCGTCCCGTAGAGCTCCTGAGAGAGTGAGTTTGTACCAGTTTCTCCAGAGGTGGTTGCACGACCGCGCGCACACGCCGGTTATTGGACGTCGAAGCGACGACATCCACAGAGACACGCTGCGCTTTGAATTTAATTAAACCAGGTTATTAAGAGACGACGATACGCGTTCGAAGCAGTCGGTGCGCAACGGGCCAATTCGCGCTTTAACTGTTCGAAATAAAGATCTTGCGCTCGCAAAACTTGATTGATGACACGCCATAGGTATATCTTATCGATATTTTCTAAGTTTGATTTACGACTCGTTTTTATTTCTCTTGTGTTTCCGCAAATGATTTATATCTTTATTTATGCGCTTACATCTTTTTTTTTTTCGAGATAAAAATTCTACCTCGAGTGACGTGGATTGTATTCTTCTTCAAATTCATTTCATTTCTGTTCTTTCCCGGTTCTTTCCGCAGGACTTCGCGACATAACGAGGTAATTTTTCGTTCAACTAGAACGGCCGCTACCGTCTAGACGGGATGCACTATATTAACACGGTATATTGCACCGAGTGAATGGGTTATTCGAAAGCCTGACTTGACAGTCTGCGCACCGACAGGCTGTTCTCTCGGTTTTTCCATACAAAAGGAGATTAGCATCCTCTCTTTGTCTACTCCGTTTCTCTCCTCCCTCTCTTTTCCTATTCGCAACCTCGACAAGTGGTTGAACACAATCCTTACATTGTTACTTTTATGTCCGTTAAGTCGAGCAATAGTATGTGAAACAGAAAGGGCCGGACAAATTTTCAAAAACAAACTTTTAAAATAGACAAATTAATTGCGCCGTGCAATTAATTATACAGCATATAGTTTTTTCAATAATTTCCAAACAATTTCAAATATTCTCTTAAAATTTTCTTTTTAAATCTTCAAAAAAAAAAAAAAAAAGAAAGAAAAAAATGCAGAATCCGTTCCGTCGCTTATGATTATCATCGCGAACAGAGGATATGTTTACTTCTCGAATTCGGGCTTGGACGCACCGACAAAGCACGAAAACGAGCGAGTCCAGATCACAAAGATTCACTTTGATCACAAAGTGAAATGCAATCACTTTCAATCTTTTTTTCTACCGCCACCATGTCTAGCCGTGTTCTATGAAAGAGTTCATCCTCTGTGACCCGAGGCATTTCGTTCAATATCACCTATTCTATTCCACTTGCGGCGAAATGAGTTTTGCAAGTCTATCTTGCAATACACAGAGAGAACCGACAAAAAAATATATTTATTTTTTAAATATATATATATAAATAAAATGTAGGACGCACAGAGGCAACTATATCTATTTAGTCGACGTATTTATTCAAAAATAAACTGCACAAGAGAGAACAAATATTTTCCCGGAATATCTCTGCCTCAAAATGTTTTTAATTACACAGATAGAAAGTAAAATTTTTAAATTAAAAAAAAATCTAAAACATTGCAATTCTGCACAAGGCGTGTAAATTGCAGGACGTTGAAAGATGATAAAAAACTATTTTGAGAATGTTAACAAGTATGAAAATTTTGCGACGATATATAAAAATTCAAGCTGACAATTTAAATTCTCTACGTCTTGTTTGTACAAGAGATTGTAAATCGCTAAATCCACAAGTTCTTTTCCTTCAACTGTGCTTTTGATGGAGTATCTAAATAAAGTGACGAAGACTCGGAATAATTCCGGAAGCGTCGTCTGACGAGCGGGCGAGACGACGGAACATAATTCCGACTGAAATGGAGATTTCAAACAGAATCTGCTTACGTCGGAGATAAAAGTCTCCGGCTTTTTCAATCCCGGGATCCGCACGCGCGTGCGCGTCGCAAACAGGGAAAAAGAAGAAGGAACGAGAGCGGATCTAATTTCCATTCGGGCAGACAAAGCGGGTAGCGCGTCTTGCACTGGTAACAGGAAAAAAGCGGTAAGACCGCATCTCTCTTAGAAGGAAGCTCTTCGTCGTCCTCGTCGTCGCCGTCGTTGTCACTCGCGTCGAGAAACGCAGACTGATACGCGGCCCTTTTTCTCTTTGTCGCCGACGCGGTGCTGCGCTGGACGCGCTTTACAAGGAGACGTTTTATTGGAATACACAAGAATACCGTAAATAAAAGGACGATGCGCGACGGACGGCGCCGTCTCCCGAGTCACTGAACCGATACCGGAGACTCCACTCACTCTATCGGGGGATTAACCCTTTCTTCCTACGGTTGATAGTATCGTCGGGTATTTATGGTGCCCCGCATTGTTGCACATGGCAACTGTGAAGGGCCGCAAGGCGAATGTGATGTAATGATATTTTCAAGTATTCCAGTTTTTTTCCTGTTCCAACAATGAGATCCACATAATTATCTAAGTTTCATATCTTTGTAATTTATTCCGGTTTTTTTATTACAAATAATTCGATGCGATAAGTTTTTTTTTTATCTTATACGAATAACTTAGCAACTTTAATCCAACTTTCGCGACATACTTCCCTCACCTTTCATTGGATGAGAAAAATTCGAGTCGGGCGGAGCAACAATCATTAATTTATCTTCGTGCAAAAGATAGTCCCGGTACATATATATTCGTCCCGTTGCGTTTCGCAAAAGCGCCACACGCAACGGGGCGCCATCCTTTTCTCATCTTTCCGTTTATGGACACACCGGTGCCAGCGGACACGCAAAAAACGTTCGTTCGAGAGCACCTTCGTTGTAAAAAAAAAAAAAAACGGTACAATGTTGAACCGCGTTGATTAATGTCGCGCTCTCGCGAGATACGCGTTCGCCCGGGAGTTTCTTCGGGATTTCTTCTTTCACGCGCGCTTGTAAACGCTCGTGAAACAAGAAGGAAGAGGAAGGAAAAGGGGTTCCTCTCCTTCTTCTGAAAATCGCGGAGTCCCAGACGCGCAAAAATGCGGTTGCCGTTCTGATTAATGTCCGACGCGCGTGAAATATATATCACCGTGGCGGCCGTGAAATAGAGAGGTGCGAGAATTATAAAAGAAGGAGAAAACTCTTCCGCGCGCGCACGACTTCGCGCCTTTATACGTCTTCAAGAAACACTTAACAACAATTAAAGAGAGAGCGCAATGAGAAAGAAATAGCCAATTGCAGTTTTTGCTGAAAAACAAGTATTGCTCTTCTCTCATATATTTTTGGAAAATTTTGACATTTCTGCGCGATTGCAATTCGTAACGTACCTGCAAGTTTTTACTTGCTAATTTGTTTTTTATCAATACGATAACAAACGCGCACTGTTCATAATTTTATGTATTATGTATCTCATGCATGTGACGTTTAATATTTTAAATATATATAACATGTCAGTTTCGGCGATTGCAATAGGCGTAACCGTTCGCGACAGGCTGTACTCGGCATTCAAGAGTAATAAGCATGATCCAGATCGGCCAAATAACCGGACCTCTCCGTAAGGTCGAAAGATCGCGACGGGTCAAGAAGGTTAATACGTTCTTTCGTGCACTTGGTAATTGCAGCGGTTATTCACGCGGCACGCAGTAAATACACCGAAAACGGCCTCGCGATGTTATTACGTTATTCGACCTCGGAAGAGTACCTTGTTTTCACGAACAATTACGAATTAGGCTCGTTCTTGCAATCGCCGTGTATGCGAAACAAAAGTGGTAATAATTGCGATCGCAATCAACACATAATCGCGGAACCGTTTATCGCGATTACACACAACAACTTGAGTCTTATCAAAAGATTTTGAGTACAGATTTCTCAGAGATAAGGTCTAACGGTCGCGTTTCCTCAATAAAACTTTCAGAGAGAAAGAGAGAGAGAGAAAGAAAGAGAGATCTAAATTTAGAAATCGTGTTCAACGGAAACGTCGCGATCGATAACTGTCTTTTATGTTGTGACAGCGCGGAGCACGCGTAATTCCGCTGTGCGACTATCACCGAGTGCTTTCAAGTGTCCCAACCTTTCCATCTAACCTCGCCTCGCCGCAATGTGCCCGCAATATTGCGCAATATACCGGCACGCCGTAAAATACCGATGCAACATGCGGTCGAACGAGCTGCCGTTGCTGCTGCAGCTGACGAGAGAATTCGTCGTTTTATTAATGAATAATCAGGTCGTTTCTGATCACGGCAACTTTAATTCATGAGCGATTCACTCGCCAACAGTTCAGTTCGGTGCATTCCACCGAACGTGATCCGCGGCTCCCGGTTCTACGTGTAAAACCCGTTTTATCGTCGGTTTCTACATTTAGCCGGCAACCACTGCGATAACGAAGCGCAGACTCGAGCCGAGAAACAAAGTAGATTCACAAGAAGAGATGCTGAGAACGAGGAAGAAGAAGGAGAAAGAATACTTATACTGTCGCGCCGCACGAGAATGCGCCCGGGCTCTATACCGGTTTCGCCGACGCTCTTACGGCGCCGTCGTTTTATCGGAATTAATTAGATTAAAGTAGCGCAAAATAAACACGAGCGCGAAACGATCGAATTTGCTCGCAACGGAAAAATTTCGCAGAAAGCTTTCAAGCTCGCCTCAGTTTACGCTGGATGCGCGGCCAGTAGTTTTCGAGAAAGTTTTGAGAGAGCACGAAGTTAGATAACACTATAAATTAATTTCAACTTGGCTGTTTTCTTATTACGTTACGATATTCTTTAATCATTCGTGAAGGTAAAGGAGATTACACACAATTTTATAATAAACTTGAATTATGTAATACCTCTCGCTCGATATTTAGGGGGCCACACAGCTTGTGGTCCGAAAAATTATGAAACATATAAACTTCCGTTATCCAAGGATTATTAACCTTAATAACCTTAATAACGACATTTTAACGCGCACGGTTGATGGCCGAAAGAGAAATATTATTAGTTATAAGGTTATTACTATCGTAAAATTAAATGCGGGCAGTGTTGCGTCATAAAAAAAAAAAAAAAAAAACTACGGAAACACGCAGGTGAACTTTTTTTTTTATCAGTTACTCTTGCTTGTGCTTATAAAAAACCGCTTTATTAGTCCGGACTGACTTCATTAAATATTCAAAGTGCAACACTTTTGCGGCGTGAAGCAAAATCACATAATATGAATCTTGTTGATGAATTCAATTATTTTAATAAATAATAGTTTTAATTTTAAGAGCGGTAGAGTAAAAGTTGTTATATATATATATGTATATATATGTAGCCAATGAGAGAATGGTTCGGATATCACGTGCTCAACATTTGCGACAACTTCAGTTTGTTTCGTGCACTCGCGTCAGTCGCGGTAAAGTAAGCGACTGCTCCGTATTTCTTTGCATCGTTCGCGTGTCAAACGTAAATTTCGTGTGCGAGTAACAAATTAAATAAACGGATAATTACGCGAACATATAATTAAACAGAGTAAAGTACGCTATCGCGTGTACTTTTGTTGACATTTATAGCGACATTTATAAATGTGTGTTTCACTCATTACGTCGTATCATCACGTCTCGAAGCACTTGACATATAGTCTATTACTTTTTAACAAGAAGATTTGTTTTTAACAAGAAAATCGTCAGACAATTGCCGGCAATCAGCGCCGGCAAGGTGATTTTCACTTGCTCGACATATAATCCGATTGCGATATTCGTTTACGTTACGTCTTGAATTTTTTTACGATGAAAAATTGTAACATCGTAGTATCACACGAGATTTATAACCGGTGGAACTAGTATGTTTATCAACGCGCATGTGTATATACATCGTGTTGTTCGCTTGTCCCGTAAGTCGAAACGTGCGGTGACATACTGCCCGGGAGTGCTGTATAGAAAATAACGAACGGTCGTCGTGACGGACGTTATTCACCGCGTTTCGGTGATCGCAATCACAGCGTGTGGACGATTATCCGATGAGAAGGAAATAATCAGCAGCAATAAGGAATGCGGAATTACGAAGAAACAACCAAGTGACGACGTTGCGCATCCATCGGGGCATGTACATACAAATATTATTTTATACAATGTGAGATTATGTATCTCCTTGTGTGGCATTGAACCTCGCAAGCAATTTATCAACAAAATTATCACTGACGTCAACTCTCGAAAGAATTACACGCAAGAGAAAAATAAGTTTGCTTCGGTAAAGTTGTTTTGCACGAAATCGGAAAAATAACAAAAGAAATAATCGCCGATCGAAGTAGAAGCGAACGCGAAATAAAATCGATATTTGAAATATCTCGAAAATACACACGCGATAAGATCATCGCGCGTTTTTTTTTTTCTTTTTTTTTTCCATAAGTGTAATAAATATTCGCAGAAAGAAAGACATATATACGTACGCGATGTGAATTTTATGCATGAGCAATACCTAATCAATTTTCAGCAAAATCAACTCGCGTCGTTGCGCGTCTCGTCGTCGCTAAACGAGAATTTCTTGCGATCGCGCGCGCGATAAGAAGATTGGATTTCTTGTCCCGTCGCGCGCGTTTTTCATACGCGTTGGTTACACGGTCATTATTTAAACCGACTAGTCCGTGGCATCGCGGTTCACTGCACTCCGCCGGTGATAAGCAACATGAGCATATGTGTGTTATCGGACGATTTCCCAGATCCGCATTTGTCAGGCGTAAGCAGTAAACGTATATCTGGCACCGTGTGTGCTCCGGAGAATTTTAAAAGTTCAAGAACTGGCCGTAGAGCAACTAGCCGTAAAACGATTACTTTTTTCTCGTACGCACATGTTACGTCGCGTGTGTGATAAACAAGTTTACATGACATATATAAAAACCAAAGATAAAATATTGTGATATCTCTACCATTCCGGAGAAGAAATTATTATTATTATTTTTTTTTTCAAAATCGTCAGTCTCATTAAAAAATCAAAAAATCGCGAGTTTCAAGATCTCTCATACAGTACAATAAAAAAAATCATCAATCAAAGCTGTTTTTTTTTTCGCTGCATCGAACGTTTATTACATTCGAATTCCGTAAACGTTCGCGCTCTCGGTAGTGGCAATTACTTAAATGATTTTACGATGGCAATAATACGCGTTATGTACGCGATTAATCGAGCGTGATTAAAAATTCCTCCAATCGTATATCTCTCTCTCTCTCGTATCGCGAGGCTTGACTCGTGAATTTCGCGATAAAAATTGCCGTAATTAGGGACGGCGATACCAACGCGCGGTATAATGCACGAGATAAATAATTAAAACAAATATCCACAACAAGTATGGTTTTTTGTCAAACGATCTTTTTGATATTCGTATCGCCGTTATTACGGTTACTGATCGCACTCAAAGTATAATGAGCTTGCGTACAATTTTACACCATACAACACCCTCGCATATTCGCGACGTTATATTTTATTCGTCGATGGGTTCGCCGACAAACTGGAATATTTCGCGATTTAAATGTGGCGCAATTGTGTAAAAAAACGTGGCATTAATATTACCCGTAGCCGGACATACCATGTTATCTGCGTATATATAAAAACAAAAATAGATTGTCCATTGAAACGCAAAAAAAAAAAAACAGCGTACTGTGAGAAATCAATTTTTTCCGCGCGCGTATTTATTGTGATAGGTGTAGACTGTAGATAATAAAAAACACATTGGCGTTTTATAATAAACGAAAAAAAAAAATCGACGCGCTAGTTTACATTTTGAAAAGATGGTTTGAAAAATGCTGGAATTAAATACAGGTTTATTTTTACGTGCGTGCATTTTTTTGCGCATTAAATATCAAATGAGAATATTCAAGTGCATATTCACAGAGAGCGAATTTTCACAGACAGAATTTTTTATTTTGTTTATAAAAGCGTTTTTTTTTTTTTTTAAAGTAAAAGAAGAAAAATGATGAACTGAGAGGTTTTTATTACGCGCGCCGCACTGGTTTTTAATCTTTGCAATAATTTTGCTGTTTTACTTTAAATTTTATTTCTCTAGTGTGTGACAATTTTTCTTCGTATGTCTCTCACTTTGAGTGAATTCACATCGCAAGACAAGGGTTAAAGCTCCTTGTCGTATTAAAACATCCTATCATTTCCGCTTCGTGTGTCTTTAGTACACGGTACACACGTATACGGTCACGAAAAGGTAATGCGTGAAAACGATACGTGCGTAAAAAAGAGATGAGAGCAGAGAGAAAAAGAGAGATGGGAAAAAAGCGAGTTATGTAACCATACGGATCCCCCTCGTCTCACCCTCTTTATTTATGAACTTGATATTTCATATTTAACCCCTTATAGTACCGCGACCCTCCGAGACCTCGGTATACTTCGATCGATCAAGATTAAGGCCTCCGGACCTTAATTTACGAATACACGTGCGTGTGTGTAACGCGCGCGAAACTCTGTTACTTTCGTCACCGTTTCGCAAATGTCCCGCTGCGCGCTCGTGCGCGCGCACTCTACTCTTATTACTCGCGCCGCGAATGCAAGAGGAAACTTATGTAAGTGCACTTTCGGGACTTAATCTGCTTTTAGGCGCCGTGGCGAGTATCCAAGGTCGACAGTTATGGCGCTTACTTTGTCACGCAAAACTTTCGCCCATTCTCGTTTTCTCGAGATCTCTGCTCTCGCTTCTTCCTTCTCTCCGGCCACTTTGTTGTGCACGCTCGAAATCCTCTCGCGCGTACATATTTAGCGATGTAATTTATGTGACACTATTAACGCACGTACGTGTCGCGTAATTTATGGCTTTGCGCGAACGTATTTTATAACTGACATAACGGATTGTGACCGTAGCGCGCTTCGGATGCTCGTAAATCGCGATCGATATTGCTTTACTCTCAATATAGAAATTTCGCGCAGATTCTTTAATAAATAAAAAAAAATAATATAAAATAAATTGTTATCTTGTAGTAAAAAAAATTAACTTGTAACTTTTTTCTCGAAAAACAAAAAAAAACAAACAAAATTACAATCTTAAACCTCAAAGTAGATTCGATTTCTCCGAAGAGATTATCGGGACTCTTCGAGGATTTTCTCACGACTCGTATCTTTGTTAGATAGGAATCGACGCGGTGTAATTCACACACTGTTATCAGTCGATCAAATATTCCATTCGAACGTGTCTCGAGGCGATACGTAACAATATTCGTGTGTCTGTCGTAACGGATAGATTGACGTTGAGCGATTTAAGTCTCGTCGCATTCCTTTAGATTGGCCGGGGCATTAATCAAAGCCGCGGTTGACCTTATTCAACGGACACGTCGACCGACGACAACGTTGGCGCCGGTATGATCTTACGACGTGCGAAACTCGCGCGGTGTCCTCGAGAGTGCAGTCGTTAATTCACACTGCCTGGTGCCTACGTACTGTGCATTATCGTCCCGACCTAGAAGTGAAAGTATCTTTATCGAGAGACACACGCCCCTATCTCTCGAGTCTCTGTTGCAAGCACAGGTGTCTAGACGTCGTTTAGAAAACACACTCGCTCTCTTTCTCATAAATGTATTTTTTCCTCGATACGTAACACGGAAATATTTATGCGATTTGAAAGAAAATGCGCTTTAAAATCGACGAGACGCGGCGTTGGATGATTCTCTCTGGAAAGCAAGCTTTCACCGTCATTAATCGCAAATCGGAGATACTGACGTGTAATTTATGCGGTATTACTGATAATGTTCTATTGCGAGAGCCAAGCGGTAATTGTAGTGTGTGGTGTGATTTACGTACTGGATTTACAGATAGTCTAACGACCGCAAAGTGCATCTTTCACGGTAGGATAGACATGTAACACTCACGAAAAAACGTGTTTAGGTTTCAATATTGAAACTTCGGATGATACGCGAATGACGACGGTGAGTGCTCGCTTGCTTTCCGAGAGCAACCGGTCATGGTTGTTAATTAACGAAATAAAACGAGCGCATTTCGATCGTGCCGCAGAGACACTAATGCCTCGTACGCGATGATTTACCCTCCGCATCCGTTCCAAATGCGGTCACGATAGTGCGCAATTAGCATCAGCGTAATAGCAGCGTTCATTAACATTAACGACCGCATAGTAATATAGTAACCGAGAAGTAATCGCACATTGTTCGTCCCACGATACGATAACGAAATAAGCAGTCTCGAAGAAAGACGATCGCCGACGTTTGATCTCAAACGCGAATCGTCGTTTAGATCTAATTATTAAATGGTTAAGTTGGCGTTGCTGATGTTCGAAGATAAATCTCGAAGGAACATTTATTAGATTAAAATTGCAGAATTTTCTTGCGTGTTAGTTTTAATTTCTAAATCAAAACGTTCTTTCACTCGAGACAAGTTTTTAAGCAAAAACAAAATTGACAAAGTCAAAAAAGTATTTGAAGTTTGTAAATAATAAAAATTCGGTGAATTAAAATTATGTTGGGACATATAATAAAAATTCGGTGAATTAAAATTATGTCAGTACATAATAAAAATTCGGAAACACATTACTCGCGCGTTTTTAATTATTTAAAATTATTTTCAAATATATCTTGAGATTTTTCTGTGTTTCGTATTTCTCGTCTGAATTCACTCAGCAATTTCTTTCAGGAAGAAGCGACGAGCAAAAGCTTACATATTTCTCGAGAGAAGGCAAAGAAACCGAATCCTTCGGCAAGACAAACGTGCATAGATCGTTCTCGTGTTGGAATCCCGAGTCATCCGATCGCGCGCTTTACTCTTTACGCATCGTAGAATTTACATCTTTATGGGAATGGGCGAATTTCCATTGATGCACATTTATGGCACGTACACGGAAATAATTCTCTCCTACGATATTCGCGCGCACAGACAGCGCAAATGCACCCTCGATAGCAATCTTCGATTTTTATGTGAAATAGTTTGACTACAATAATAATACGTTACTATAAAAAGGAAGAATAAGCATATAAGTTCGAGACGCACACACACACACACACACACACACACATAGTTCGCGCACAGAGAAATTATTGGCTGAAATATCGCTGCAGATGTGACAGAAAGTTGAGCGTATAGCGTTTTTGTTTTTAATCCAAATCTAT